CTTCAGGTAGGTGACCTATGACCTCTGGTTCGTTGCAGGCCCATTGACGTAGCTCAAACCCAGCGGATGCCAAGATGGTCCGCAACTTGTCCACCAGGTGCCTTGCCTCGGCGATGGTGGGCACGCTCTGGGAGGCAATTGTCCACATAAAAACACCTCTCTACTGACATCCTCACGTCTTCCCCGGCTGGCTGTGGTCATTGACGTGGCGCTGTAAGGCGAACGTGGCACAGCACCGACTACACGTCGTTCCAAACGGTAGTACTTGCCACTCATAAACCGCAGGAGGTTCCCTCGGCTGACATCACGCCAGACAAAGCGGAGGAGGGCACGATCTCCTGGGAGGAGGCGAACCTGGTGGAACATGCCCTTGATGTCTCCACTGATCGCTACTGCATGTTCTCGGAAGCGTAGCAGGACTCCCAGAAGTGATGCTCCTAAAGTTGGCCCAGGTAACAGGTAATCATTGAGGCTCTGTCCTCGGTACTGGTAGGAACAGTTGAAGACCAGTCTATTCTTGCCATTATGACGTACCATATGGTGTGGGATGTACCAGGCCTCACGACCCTCGTCAGCTGGTGCTTCAGGGCCACACTTGATGACAGAGCCTGCCTTGATCAGTTTCTCCATCTCCACTCTGTAGGCTGCAGACTGAGCAAGGTCCTTGGCCAGTCGCCGTTCCACGCCTCGCAAGGTGGGCATGACAGCTTCTTTGGTAGCATGAAAGAGCGGCATGTCCCTCCGGCGCAGCAGTGGGGTGGCATAACGGAGAATGCCCTTGACCTCTACTCTGGTGGTCTTGGTCTCGAGGATACTGATGGCTTCATGGTCTTGCTTTGAGCGGGTGGCGAGCTTCTCGCTCCTGAATGGGACCATATCAACCTGCCATAGTCTCTCAACATGTCTCATCAGTTCGCTCACCTGAGGTGCTACCGTTGTGAAGAGGCACTGCTGTGGGTGGGCAAGGTGGCGGACTACACTAGCGGGGCCCTGCAGTGTCCAACCCAGCTTCGTGTGGATGGCAGCAGGTCCTCCTGGAGGTCCCAACCTGACAGGTTCGATAGGAGTGATGAGGTGGGGATGGTCACTCCCGATGAGCAACACAGGTTTCACATCCGTGAGGGTCGGTATAGGAAGGCCAATGAGGTGCTTGTAATTCCTCTTGAGCTGCTTCATGGGGTAAGTATGACCAGCCAATCCGATGCGTGCTGTGGTGAATGCACCTCTAATCCTGAACTTGCTCTTTGGCTTTGCAGGGGAAGAAATGGAGAATGACACAGATGCACCCCGGAGCGTCTGGACCTCTTGTCTGATGGTGCGTAGCGGTAAGTCCTCTGGGGGTCCTCGCATCCCCAACATCTCTGCTGCATCTGGTAGCAGCATAGTTCTCTCAGAACCGTCATCCAATATGGCGTAGGAGTTGAGCTTTCGGCCACCATAGTGAATGCAGACTTTAACGACTTTCAGCAGGACTCGTCGGCCTTCTGTGGGTCGGTCTAGATACAGCACCTCTGTTGTGGCTCTCGTAGCATGGCTCGCTACTTCTGGTGCTGCTGTTGGCGCCTTAGGTGACCTCACGTTGACCTCATGCAGCACCTGAAGGTGTTTACCTTGGCAAAGGCTACATGGCTTCTTCAGGTTGCACTGTGCAGCTTGATGTGACCGTGCACAGCGCCAACACCTCTTGTTGCTCCTTATCCACTCTGTTAGCTGATCCTTGGTCAGCCTGGAAACTGCTGCACACTGACTGAGATAGTGCTCCTCATTATTGCAGAATGGACAGTAAGGCTTACTCTTGTTCCCCTTAAAGGAGCTGCCTGGGATTTGACCTTCTGGCTTCTTGTCTGCATTGTTCCCACTATGGAGCACGGTAGTGGGCCGATTACTCTGGCGACCATCAGGTCGGGGCACTGGCCTCTCCCTAGCCCCTTTCACTGCTAATTGTCCTTCAGAGTCCTGACACCAGGACTCATACTTCAGCCACTCTGATAGATCAGGTAAGGCATGAGTTTGTGTGCCTCGATGGAACATGCAGCGGCGAAACTCAGCTCTCTGCTCAGGTGGTAATTTGCTCAGCAGGCGGGCAACATGTGAGCCACACTGTAACTCTGCTTCTCCCTCAAGGCCTAATGTCCTCAACATTCCCACCAGCGACTGTACCTGGAGTGAAAACTTCTCAAATGCAGCAACATCTCCCCGCCTGATATCTGGTGAGTCCAACACAGCAGCAATACGCCTCAATGCAATCTGATGTGGTTGACCAAACTTATCATTCAAGGCCGCCATCGTGTCAGAGAAGGGTGTTGGAGAGTTGAGGTAAGCGTCTGCTATCAACCGAGCCTCTTCTAGTTGCAGGTGATCGACCAAAACTTGATACTTAAACAGCTCAGTGGCTCCTGGTGGTAAGAGGTTCTCCAATGACAGCCTCAGCCGCGCAAAGTTGCGAATGGTTGGGCGGGGTCCATAGTAACTGGACTCTGGAATATGGGAGGTCCTGTTTAGAGGCAATGGTTGTGGTTGCATCCAGGACCCACCATTAGTCTGCTGGGGATTGCATCCCGGCATGCTCTTGATAACACTACAAGCTGCAGAATACTTAGGCTCAGCTGGAGGCAAACTGAAGGACTGCAATGGAGGCTGAACCGGCTTAAACCAGGGACGTTGATAAGAATCAGAGTTTGGTGGTCTGGTATCAGGAACGATGCCATATGCTGACTGCTGAACTTGTAGTAGGCTCTTAGGCGGCTTAGCAATAGGGGCCGATATAACTTCTTCTCTAACATATGGAAGCTCGGCTGTTGCCTGAACACTGTGATGTGGCGGTGGCGGGGTGGTTGGTCCCCAGGTGACAGTCCCATCATTGCTGGATCTGGCCACGGGGGAGCAGGCCAGTCATCCTCTTCAGCAGGTGCAGCCGGTGGCGGTGGCTGCTTGGATTCAGGCTGATTTGTATGAGGAGAAGGGCTCTGTAAGTTCCGAACAGCGTCCACTAACTGTCTCATGTCTGCTCGCAGTGCTCTGAGCTCCACCATATCTGATGACATGCTGCGCTGGGTCCGCTGGAGAAGGTGTCTCTCATGTCGGATGTCCTCTAACTCTGTCTTTACATCCTCATGTGGGTGTCTGGTGTGCGGTGCTGGATGTAGGGGAGTGGAGCGCTCATAGAACCGTTCCCCAAGATCACGCTCGGGTGACAGCAGGGGGCTTGCTGAGTCTCCTGGGTGTACTGTTGGCCCTCGGCTCCATAGCACGAGTCCATCTCATGAGGACTAGCATGCTGTCTCTGCATGCGGCTCAGTAGGGAAGAGTCATAAGCGGCGGTGAGGGGGGTCATCCTGACCATTCCCTCCTGGTGAAGCGTCTCTACGTCCCTCTCTGTATCTCTGACTGATATAGCCCAGATTATCCACATCATAATCTGCATAGCGGGCTGGTGGACGAATGTGTCGTCTGGGGCGTGCACCACGTGCTTCGTACTCTGAACGTTGTTCCATCTCCGATGTAAACCCTGTGATCCGGCTCGAAGGACCATCAAATGTAGTGAAGACACTGGGATGTTACTGTATATGGCGTTAGTTCAGGGGCTATCACTGAGTTCACACCGGGGTGCCGGCCAGAACACCAACTTAAGGCTAATTAATGCTCAGAGGTCCACAATGAAGAAGCAGGTGATGGATAGTGCAGGTGGTTTAATATCCTCTTGCTGGCAATGAGGTCATGTGGTTTTTCTATAGCAAAGGAACAATAACAAATATACACAAATGAATAAGAATAAAGCTCTTAATCACTTATAAACATACTAAAGGAGTACTGAAATTACTACATCCCCAAAATAACAGTTCTGAAACACTCTTCACCTGACTTACTAGCATATTAACACACATATAAACAACATCACATGGTAATATTTAAGTACCACTCACTGTAAGCATTACACTAGCGAGTCGGAGCGATAACAATAACGTAACATGTGACATGACGTACACTTGATCAGAGGCAGGTGAGCTAAATGCTACAACTAGCTTAAACAGTGACCACATGGCAAGTCTGACAGCTACACATCAGAACAACAAATAAACTATAGCTGCAGCAACGTAAACACAGTACATCAACAATATATCCGGACATACTCACTTTCCATCCACGCACAGACCACTTGCCGTGGCGTTAATTGTTAATTGAACCGTGAATCCCTCACTCTGCCGTCTCACCGGAGCACACACCTCTCTGACCAAGTACCGTCAGTTACGCTATATAACCAGCAGGGGGGGGGCGCTCATATATGAGCTGACCAACACTACATCTATGAAATCACACACTAAACATAATATGTCCCAACTTTGAGGCCTTTTCTACAGTTATGCCGCCCCATACCAACAAACTGATGCCCTGTGTGTTCTGACCCCTTTCTATCAGAACCAGCATTAACTCTTTCAGCAGTTTGAGCTACAGTAGCTCGTCTGTTGGATCGGACCACACGGGCCATCCTTCACTCCCCACGTGCATCGATGAGTGTTACCTGCCCATGATCCTGTCTCTGATTCTTTTCCTTCCTTGGAGCACTTTTGATAGGTACTGACCTCTGTAGACCAGGAACACCCCACACGAGCTGCAGGTTTGGAGATGCTCTGACCCAGTCGTCAAGCCATCACAACTTGGCTCACGCTGCCCATTTTTCCTGTTTCTAACACATCAACTTTGAGGACAAAATGTTCACTTGCAGTCTAATATATCCCCCCCACTGACAGGTGCTATAACCAGATAATCAGTGTTATTCACTGTCAGTGCTCATAATGTTATGGCTGATTGGTGTATTATTATCGGTGTAATATATTTTCTTGGATTGCATTACATATATTGAAATAGTCCTAGCAGAATAGATGCATAAGATTATACCACAATAAAAAGTCACATGGTATAAGAATGAAAAAAGGAAAAAATATTACATGCTTAAACTGTTCATGTGTCAATCAGATGAGATTGTTTTCAGAAAAAACACGTTAACAAGAAAAGCCTCTAAAAGTCTTTATTTGTAGTTTGTTCAAAATCTTATTGACAACCATTTCATGCAGTTAAGTATTTCTTCTGCTTATAAAGCTCAGTGAATAATCAAAAATGACATAACTGTTCTATTACAATTACAGTGCGTACCTTACATTTGATTAGACTACAAAGTGAAAGGGCACACTTGTAAAATGCAAATTCTCTTGTTTCTAACACAATTTAAAATGTCCTTATGTTTACATACATTACTAATATAAACAATAAATCAGTAATTTGTTTAAAACATTTGATTCATTTAATGAACAATATTTGACAAATCTAAAAGACAAAGTATATTTCTTCAGTTTCAGTTATAGCTACTTTCAGTGTTTGAATTATTGGTGGGCTCGGGAACACCGCTTTACATTTGGAGAACATATTGGTTGTGTTAATAAGTCAGTTTAGAGAAAGTGATGTATTACAAAAGTAAAGGTAGTAATGGTATACAGCAAAAATAAAACATCTACAAAAACAACAAAATACACCAGGTTCTATTTTAAAGGCCTTTAACATCCATTGCACACTCAAATAGGTGTTTTAACTTTTGCCTTTATTAGAACTTTCTCAATGATTACAGGCTGTCCTTAATTGAGATCTTCCTCACTCTGGTGTTGCACCTGTTGAAAGAGTTTTCTTGCAAACACAGACCATTTCATTTGATATCTTTGTCATATTAAGAATATATAGGTCATACACTGCAACATATACATATCCATTAAAAATGTTGAGGATAACACAAAAAAGTTTAAGGATAAGTTATTTACAAAGATGCCAATACAAGTCATCGTCCCATCAAATAATCTCAACTGTTGTTCTTGACTGACCTAATGGTTGTATTGTGATCCTTAAATGAAATCTTAGGCCTTTGTGATTGATAACACTTAGACTTAATTTTTCTATATGAGTGGGCTCTTGATTAAGTTGTTGCAATCCAGAGCATGACAAGAACTGTTTAAAGCCTTGAACATCCCATGATCTGAATGATCCGTCATGTTTAACTTTTTCTGGTGCACTACTGCCACCAACTGTTGATCAGTGGAATTGTTCAACGTCCAGGGGTTATACCCTATAGCCCCCTTTTCATTTGATAGACATGCCAATTGGCAGAATATAGACACAAGTGGTTAAAAACTTCACCGAGTACTTTAACTTGAGACACTATAGACATTTATTATTCTCATTGGTACATTACTTTAGGCTTGGTGACCTCATTCGATTTGCTGCTACACTCTGGCTAACTTTAACCTTTACTTCTTCAAACTTAGTAGCAGCAGTCTAATTAACTAAAATAACTGGAAAAACCTACAGTTATGTTTAATTGTTGTGATTGATAGGACAGATGATCAGAGGGGCAGAGTTTCTACCACCATCATTAGTACAGGGACTGAAGAATGGGTAGATTTTCTCAGTGAAGGAGCAGCCAGTAAAGGAGTAGAGATGATCTGCAGTATCTGCATCATAAAAGGAGACCAGACCCTCCTCATAATCTACAAACACCCCCACCTTCTGAAGCTGAGACTTCAAAGAAAGGCAGACAGGGTTTTCATCGTTAGCCTCATACCAATGTCCATTCCTCAACCATACAGTCCAGAAACCATTCTCTGGACTCAGTGTAATCCCTCCTTTCCTGTTGATTGATTTTTTGACCACTCCTAAAGTCCAGGCAATCTTCCCTTTAACCTGAACCTCAAAGTAAAATCTTCCTGAAGAGAGACTCTGCTTTCCTAAGATGTTCACACATCTGTAAAATCTTTCAGGGTTGTCTGGTACTTTCTGCCTCACATCGCCATGATAAACTTTTTTCCTATCACCAGAAAGGATGAGATTAGGATGTGCTGTGTCCGGATCAAGAGTCACATCCACTAAAAATGTCTTGACCCGCTCATACTCCTCTTTCTGAGCACCAGAGGAAAGTGTCTTGAGATCTAAAAGAAGGCAGAGCACACAGTCAGTCTTCCAGAACAGCTGTTGAATGTAATGTGTTAACATATGCAGCATGTCACATTATTAGAATTCTATACTTCAATTTATTAAATTATTTTGTTTTATATGAATAACTGTTATAACAAATTAGTTGTTTGATTATATCTTGGACTTTTTATTAGGCTACACCTGCTTATCATATTCTGTAGAGTTCAAAAGGGGAAAAGGAGGCACTTTTCTTGCACTGTATTTCACTTGGTTGACTTCCACTCTAGTGGCATAAAAGCAAAACAATCACTTCATCACTTCGTCTTGATAAACTTTGTGAAATTTATTTACAGTTAATTAACTGAGTCTTCATCCGAATATTTTGTTTAAATGACCTAGCTGTAAAGTGATCCAGACATGAGGTCTCACTTCTTTGTCACTATAAAGGAGTACTGTCTTTATCCTGAATATGTTTTGTGAAAACATATATTCTCTATACTCTTGAGGTATGTCCTTTTGTTTATTGATTACACTCTTCACTTTAGAAAACCCTTTTCTTGAATCCACCTTATTGTGGTGAACAAGTTTTGATAAACTGCAGCCAGCTGACAAGTTCAAATCCAGGATCTACTTGCAGACTAATTTTCTTTCTGATGTAAAAGCAGGAGTACTCTTTATCCAGCTTCTTTACTTTTTGATGAAGGTGGAGTACCACAAAGAGTGACAAATTAGTTTTTACTTCTTTTGTTAACACATTTCTATTATGTAATAATTTATGAGATTACTGTGGCATTTATTCTGATGTTCATATTTTTACTTTCCCCCTGACTTACCTGTTGGTCCTGGGCTGGAGGTTTGCAAACGCTGCACCAGATCATTTCTTTTGATCTTTTCGAAAACCTTCAAAGTTATCTTCAGAGCTCCAGGACCTGTATGTGTTTGTACCAATAAATCCACTGTGGTCCCCCTTTCTGCCTTTTCTAACTGAGCCGCTGGGATGGCTGAAAAACCTTCCAGGGTGTCATCCTGCTTCAGGAACCACTTAAAATCATTAAACTCGTCTTCTTCTAAGTACTGTAGAGTTCCCCAGAGGTCCTCTTTAAGTGTCGCCATTATGGCTCCCTGCTAAAAATAAGAGAGGTTTTCATCTGAGGGATGTTTTGTGTTTATCTGAAGGAATTATGTGTTTGTTTCATTCCGTGCCACGTCACCAGTGCAAATGTGTTAACAATGTGCATTTGAAACTCAGCTATTGCTTCAGAAACGGTTTACAGAAGTTTTGACATTTTCATTATTTCAGTCTTTTGGCAGTCACCAATTCAAGCTAAATACATGACCTTAAGTGGAATACATTTACTATCCTTTGGGAGAGCCAAGAAGGACACTTTTCATTTTTCAAGTCAAGCGTTTCGTATATTCAAAACAGATAAATACAAATTTGCATTTTATATCAAATATTCATTATTCCAATATAAAAAAAACAACAACTTTTAAGACATTTGAAGTTTTACGTACCTCTACAAGAGTTCACGACTGGTCAAGCTGGATGCTGAAGGGAACAGTTTGGCCTGTGAAAACCTGACATGAAAGTAATAATGATTAGAGCTGCACTTCACCACTTTCATTCCTGCTGTTTAAACTAGGAAGTCAGCAACAGCTGCTACAGTTGTTGGTGATAAACACTTGTCCTCTTTCCTCTGGTTGAGCTAGATACTAAAACCAGCAAGGCAAGTTTATTTATATTACATATTGTCATACAAGAGACAATTCAAGGTACTTAATGTAATGCATTGGAACTTTAGACCTGAAATATAGCATAATGACATGCTATATAACTGCAGTCACTGTTGTTGACAGGCTTGTCAAATGCTAATCACAACATTTTTATATGGCCTGATTATCTTTAGTAGTAGAGGAACTAAATGATTTCTTTCTTTTTTCTGTTATTTTTCAGTTTCCCAGTTTCAGATATCTTTTCATTTTTAAAGATTAGTGGCTAAGCAAGGACTGTTTAATTACTGTTAATGTACTGATGTGTTTTTATTCAGGTTATGTTGTGTTGTTGATCTGATTATTGTATGTTACTGTAGTCTTTGAGACAGTGCTAAGGTGATGTTAATTTAATGTTAAGCTTTACACAGGCACGTCTTTGCATGCAACTAACTCTCTTTTAACGGCACAATTAATCTACGATCACATACACACATATTCAGCCTAAACCTCAGCACATCATGAGGAGAGGGAAATCAAACACTCCTCTATGCTCTTTGTCTCTCATCAACACATGTTTTATGCTCAGCTAAAGCATCTGGTCAGAGGACAAAGGACACACACCTTTTCTGGCACGCAACCCCCAGCGCACACACACACACCTACACTCCTTTTTCCTCTAACTTAGTTCCTTTTAGTTTGATTGTATATAGTATATTTTCCTCTGTTAGCTTTTATTGTCTCATTAATAAATGATTGTGTTTATTTATGCTGACCTATATAATTTCGCACAAGAGTGGGTGATACCAGCCTCTTCTATGCAGAACTCCAAAGCCTTCCACTTTAATTATGAATAGTGATTTTGGTTATAGTTATTAATTTCATTATTACCCTAATTAATAGTATAGTGTTTTTTATTCGACTGATCAATCAATTATTGGCTATCATTTCCCTTTTTTAAGGGTGGTTATTTATCATAGCACCCACACACGACTGGAAAAAGTACTGTCTGCAAATTCACAAAGTAGTTTAATTACACGTTACAAATACAACCAGTATCGACACATCTTCTGTTGTATCTCATTAAACGAGACATACTACAGAGAAATGTCATCTGTTTTATTACAACTCACCAAGCAGAAATCAGCACCTGCAGTCTTCAAACGTAGAAGGATCAATACAAACCATACAGATGCTAGTATTGTGCAGAGAAAGGCCTGACACCTTCCCCCAACCCCCACAAAAGATCAGATGTCTACATCTCATCCTTAAATGGTCATGAAGTCAAAGTGTCAGCTCAGTGGCACTACGGATGTTAATACTTGTGCAGAGAAAGATCTCACTTCCTTCTTGCAGGGTTATACCTGGGGTCTCTCTTGAATTTTGTCAGGGGCTAAGAAAGTTCACTGCAGTTTTACTCAAATGCCTTCCTGACTCTGTTACTTTGTCAGAATTGTCAGGAGCCTGTATTTCCTGTAAAAGCAAAGGCAAACCTTGTGTGCATTGAATGTTCAGGTTTGCGTTCTTGTCTGAGAGTTAAGAGTGGAACATGGACAAAGTTACTAAGCAGATAAATCCACAGACTAAAGCTGGAAGCACTGTATATGATGATTTGAAATGATTTGCCCATTTGAAACGTAAACTTGCCCTCTAAGTAATTCAGTCTTTATTTACAACATTTTGTTATGGCCGGATTATCTTTAGTAGTAGAGGAACAAAATTATTTATTTACCATTTTTCCTTTCTTTCAATTCAATTTTATTTGTATAGCGCCAATTCATAACAGAAGTTATCTCAGGACACTTTTCAAATAGAGCAGGTCTAGACCGAACTCTTTAAAACAACTGATCAACTTTACGTTTTCCATTTGAATTTTGTTTCAAGATAAAATTATCCTCCACAGATGTAAACAGCTTATAGAGTTGTCGTAGTAATAACGGTAATAATAATGATAATGCTGATTCCAGGACAGGCACGACTGGAAAAAGTACTTTCAGCTAATTCACAATGTAGTCCAATTACACATTACAAATACCCCTATTATTGACACATCTTCTGTTGTATCTCATTAAACAAGACATACTTGAGCACAGAGAAATGTGTTTTGTAATCTGTTTTAATACAACTCACCAAGCAGAAATCAGCACCTGCAGTCTTCAAATGTAGAATGATCAATACAATCAAACTATTCCATGCAACACTGTAGAGAACGCTCTGACTTCTCTGTTGCAGGCTTTAATATGAGGCCACTTCTTACCATTTTTGATTTTGTACAGGTCCCCCCCCCCCCCCCCCCCACTTGTTCTCTCGTCATGAAACTCAGGTTTCTCATTGAGGTGGACTCTACGTTCTTCAACTTAGTTAATACTATAGTTCAGGGGCAAAAGATCAGCCTCAATCTAAGGTCTCTGTCTACATCTTATCCTTAAATGGTCATGAAGTTGAATTGTCACCTCAACCGCACTACGGATGTTAACAATTGTGCAGAAAATGTCACAATACCTTCCCACAGGGTTATACGTGAAATTTCTTAGGTGACTTTTGACAGGGGCTGACCACATATTAACAAAGTTTCAGGTTTAACCAAATGCCTTCCTGACTCTACTTTGTCAGAATTGTCAGGCGCCTGTATTTCATTTAAAATGGAAGGCAAACCTTGTGTGCATTGAATGTTAAAGTTTGCATTCTTGTCTGAGAGCTAAAAGTGGAACAGGGACAAAGTTACCTGACTCCAGCTGGATGCACTGTATATGATGATTTGTTTGAAATGATTTGCCCATTTAAATAGTAAACTTGCCCTCTAAGTAATTCAGTCTTTATTTACAACATTTTGTTATGGCCGGATTATCTTTAGTAGTAGAGGAACAAAATTATTTATTTACCATTTTTCCTTTCATACCAATTGTCCATTTTTCATTTGAATTTTGTTTCAAGATAAAATAATCCTCAATAGATGTAAACAGCTTATATAGTTGTTGTAGTAATAACAGTAACAATGATAATGCTGATTCTAGGACAGGCACGACTGGAAAAAGTACTGTCAGCTAATTCACAAAGTAGTCCAATTACAAATACCCCCAGTATCGACACATGTTTATCACCATCCTTAAATGGTCATAAAGTCAAAGTGTCAGCTGAACCGCACTACGGATTTAATAGTTGTGCAGAGAAAGGTCTTACTTCCTTCTTGCAGGGTTATACCTGGGGTTTCTCGTGAAGTTTGACAGGGGCTGAGAAAGTTCATTTCAGTTTTACTCAAATGCCTTCCTGACTCTGTTACTCTGTCAGAATTGTCAGAAGCCTGTATTTCCTGTAAAAGCAAAGGCAAACCTTGTGTGCATTGAATGTTCAAGTTTGCATTCTTGTCTGAGAGTTAAGAGTGGAACATGGACAAAGTTACTAAGCAGATAAATCCACAGACTAAAGCTGGATGCACTGTATATGATGATTTGTTTGAAATGATTTGTCCATTTGAATAGTAAACCTGCCCTCTTTATACCCCATCAGTAAATAAGATCTATACTAATAATCCTCAGCTCTTTGTTCGTTCAACCTTTTGGCTTTATAATTTCTCTCCTCTGGGTTTTTTCTTGAATTCTACTGTAAATCAAATGTAAAGATAATAGAAGCAACATTAGACTAGGCCCATGCAGTACTCTGGGTCTTAAAAAATTAAAACAAGTAAAGTCATTTAAGTAAATTTCACATGATTATAAAGTTGTTAAAAAATACATTTTTTGTTAAAATACACCGATTAGCCATAAAATTCTGACCACCTGGGCACCCTGGTGGTCAGAATGTTCTGCAGCCCCAGACCAACAGACTGTGATGCACTGTGTGTTCTGACCCCTTTCTATCAGAACCAGCATTTGAGCTTCAGTAGCTCGTCTGTTGGATCGGACTACAGGCCAGTCTTCACTCCCTATGTGCATCAGTGAGCCTCGGCTGCCCATGACCCTGTCTCCATTTCACCACTTCTCCTTCCTTGGACCACTTTTGATAGACCAGGAACACCAAGCAAGAGGTGCAGGTTTGGAGATGCTCTGACCCAGTTGTCAAGCCATCAGAACTTGGCTCTTGTCAAAGTCGCTCAGACCCTCACACTGCCCATTTTGCCTGCTTCTAACACATTGACTTTGAGGACAAAATGTTCACTTGCTACCCATACTTCAGTCCCTGTACTAATGAGGTCCTCTTTAAGTTTCACCATTATTGGGCCCTGCTAAAAATAAGAGAAGTTTTTATCTGAGGGATGTTTTGTGTTTATCTGAAGGAATTATGTGTTTATTTCATCCCGTGCCACGTCACCAGTGCAAATGTCAATTTGAAACTCAGCTATTGCTTCAGAAACGGTTTACAGAAGTTTTGACATTTTCATTATTTCAGTCTTTTGGCAGTCCACACCAATTCAAGCCAAATACATGACCTTATACATGCATGCATGCTCTTTGTCTCTCATCAACACATGTTTTATGCTCAGCTAAAACATCTGGTCAGAGGACAAAGGACACACACCTTTTCTGGCACGCAACCCCCCCAGCGCACACACAGACACCTACACTCCTTTTTCCTCTAACTTAGTTGCTTTAAGTTAGATTATATATAGTATATTTTCCTCTGTTAGCTTTTATTGTCTCATTAATAAATGATTGTGTTTATTTATGCTGACCTATATAATTTCGCACAAGAGTGGGTGATACCAGCCTCTTCTATGCAGAACTCCAAAGCCTTCCACTTTAATTATGAATAGTGATTTTGGTTATAGTTATTAATTTCATTATTACCCTAATTAATAGTATAGTGTTTTTTATTCGGCTGATCAATCAATTATTGGCTATCATTTCCCTTTTTTAAGGGTGGTTATTTATCATAGCACCCACACACGACTGGAAAAAGTACTGTCTGCAAATTCACAAAGTAGTTTAATTACACGTTACAAATACCACCAGTATCGACACATCTTCTGTTGTATCTCATTAAACGAGACATACTACAGAGAAATGTCATCTGTTTTAATACAACTCACCAAGCAGAAATCAGCACCTGCAGTCTTCAAACGTAGAAGGATCAATACAAACCATACAGATGTTAGTATTGTGCAGAGAAAGGCCTGACACCTTCCCCCAACCCCCACAAAAGATCAGATGTCTACATCTCATCCTTAAATGGTCATGAAGTCAAAGTGTCAGCTCAGTGGCACTACGGATGTTAATACTTGTGCAGAGAAAGATCTCACTTCCTTCTTGCAGGGTTATACCTGGGGTCTCTCTTGAATTTTGTCAGGGGCTGAGAAAGTTCATTTCATGCCTTCCTGACTCTGTTACTTTGTCAGAATTGTCAGGAGCCTGTATTTCCTGTAAAAGAAAAGGCAAACCTTGTGTGCATTGAATGTTCAGGTTTGCTTTCTTGTCTGAGAGTTAAGAGTGGAACATGGACAAAGTTACTAAGCAGATAAATCCACAGACTAAAGCTGGAAGCACTGTATATGATGATTTGTTTGAAATGATTTGCCCATTAATTATGTGTAATCAGTAAATAAGATCTATACTAGTTATCCCCAGCTCTTTGTTTATTCAATCTTTTGGTTTTATATCTGCTCTCCTCTAGGTTTTTTCTTGAATTCTACTGTGAATCAAATGTTGAGATAGTAGAAACAACATTACACTAACTAGGCCCATTCAGTACTGTGGGTCTTAATAAAGCTTAAGGACTCCACAGACCACGTTCCCCAGATGTTAACTCCTATAATATCCTGGTATGAAGCCACAACATGTGGAATTTACAATCTTGTTGCTACAAACAACGGCCGGAAAGGGAGGTGTTTTATGGAATTGATGACACAGGATGTCTGGAGCCAAAACAGGTCTACCTTGGAAAAGAGATTTCAATGTCAAGGGACTTCCTGGTTAACAAAGGTTAAATAAATAAAAAGAAACTACCTTGGTACTGTATTCCCTGTCGCAGACTGCCCGAACGCCAGCAAGGGAAGCAGCTGTGGCTCCACCTTACAGCAAGTATTTTGGCACTAAAATTGACTTGTTTATTGTTTACTTGTCAGTCACTCCATCTTTGAGAGGCTGAAAAACAACATCATCTGCCAAGTGTGAGGAGGAGAACTTGTCTGTCTAGAGATACATGGGGTGGAGTCAGAAGAGTGTGTTTGTGTTGGAGGTAGATGAGAGCGTACCTGCTACTGAAGGTGATTCTGCATGCATTGTCGGACTTCACAGCAGAGGATCTTGCCATGGATAGTGACTTTGGACGCTTGACAGAAATGGTAAGCTGTGAGACTCTCTCTCAATGGGTTGTATTGGATCAAAATGTCTTTCAGTAAAGTCAACAAAGCAGCTGTTCTATTATTTGCTGCAGGATTTGTCTTTGGTTGACTTTACACTTACTGCTTAAATGTGTGAGTCTATCTCCCAACACTTTCTGACTTCCCTACCTGTCTTTGGCACTGGTTCCTACTGAAGATTGCAATCTTTAAAAAGTTTTATTTAGTTAATTTTTTTCAGGCTCATTAATTTTCTCAAACAGCAGTTCATTTAAGCGAGCTGCAGTTCTTAACGTTCCTCTGTTTGCTTTTGCTGCAGGATGCAATTCGCACTCTGAGTGCACTACAGACCGATGCAAGTGCGCTGGAGATGCAAGAGCAAACGCGGATTTGTCCTCAGCTGAAGCTCCAGGCCATGAGAGGCTTCCTGGAGCGAGTCGGCATCACAGTGAGTCTTATATCTGCCCACATTACATATACATAAAAGAGTAAAATAGAGTAAATATTTCCTTTAGTCTTATCTGATGTGTGTGTGTGTGTGTGTGTGTGTGTGTGTCAAAGGCAGAGGATCTGGACCATCTCAATATCATTCATGTGGCGGGAACAAAGGGAAAGGTGAGCTGACTAAAAACTGTGTAGTATGATGTCTTTTTAAAGGTTGAGTCAGTAATTAATCATTTTGGTCTCTAAGAAAAATAGTTCAAATCTCCATCCCACTTTAGTCCAAGGTGAACTGTTTAAATGTCTTGTTTTGTAAAATCCAAAGTTAGTCAGTTTAATATGATATGAAACAGAAAAGTAGGAAATCTCCAAAGATCAGAGGCTGTAAGCTGCATTTTATGTCATTTTTGCATTAAAAATGTACTTTTATCACAATTTTATTTATAATAAGTCGATCGACTAAGTAATTGAATTGAACTCATTGTGGATGGAAATAAACAATCTAATTTAGAAACAACTACGATAGGTGTTATAATTTTGAGCAGCTTATTTCCTGTAAGCATCACAGATGAGTTTTCCTTTTGTTTCTTTCTGTTGCTGTCTGTAATATGTTTTTTTTTTTTTAACAATCATACAGGTTTAATAGGCTTTCTTTTTAACTGCATACTTTTCTAATGCAGGATGAGGCTGTTTATCAGAGTGAAGGCTCTATGAACACAGCTTGTGTTCAGGCCTTTTAAAGTTCAGATCTTAAATAATAATCTAAACTTTAATTTCATTTAGTTTTCTCCACAGAAATGAAAGCAAAATGAGATATAGGCTTTAAAATCAAGAAGGCCTTGCAACCTCCACCTGCATTCTTGACAACGCCTAGGTTGGGAACCAGCGGTCTAACTGGTTTAAGTTGTCAGGGTGGCATGTGAGTGTGTAATCACCACTCTGTCTGGTAGTGGTTCACGTCGGCGTTGGTTATGACACAATAATAATAATAATAATACATTTTATTTAAAGGCGCCTCTCTGGGCACTCAAGGACACCGTACAACACATAAAAAATAAAAACAGTAAGAAATAAGAAACAGGAAAAGACAATGTAGATGGTTAAGTGGGGTATGCAGTTCTGAATAGGTGAGTTTTTAGTCTTGATTTGAAGAGTGTGAGAGAGTCCACAAGCTCTGGCACGTCACACAAACATGTCTTCATCTTGGATGACCTCTTACATTTTTGTGTTTGTCTTTAAGGGCTCAACATGTGCCTTCACTGAGCGGATATTGAGAGGTTACGGCTACCGCACAGGATTTAACAGGTAAAAATGCAGCGTATGAACAAAATGTACACAATTGGTGTCTGTGTCTTATTGACACATAAGAATATATTATCTGGCCCTAAAAAAGATTATATATTGAACTGAGATAGAAAGCAGAGACAGATCCTAACCAAGTCCAGGCTCACTGACCACAAACTGGAAAATGAAAGAAATCAAAAATTATGGCAACCAAAAGAAACAGAGTGCGATCGACAGGTGAGGACAGAATCAGAAATACTTTATTGATCCCCGGAGTGAAATGAGTAAAAGGAGATCAGATATTGAATCTCTGTCAGCTGATATTCAAACTGCAGCAGGCGGTGCTGATTCTGTGACAAACTTTAATCTCTTTACTGCTTGTAGTGTCGGCAAAGACACAGCAGAACCTTTTACATGTCACATATTATTGTAATAATACTGCAGGATATTGTCCTGAGGCATACAGTGTTTCTCCCGATATCAGCTGACAACGGTGGAGTTTGGCCTGTAATGTGATCAACTTCAAGCAGTGAAAAGTGGCTCCTGTTTTCCTGCTTGGTTGCAGTTCCCACATTTGGTCGAAGTCCGGGAGAGGATTCGAATCAACGGACAGCCCATTGGAAAAGAGCTCTTCACTAAATACTTCTGGCAGGTTTATAGACGGCTGGAAGACACTAAGGTAGGTCACGTGTAGTGTCAGCTGGCTGTGGCTGCTCCATTCAATAGATCAACCTGTCGTAGAACAGAACGTGAAAATCTCTGAAGCTTGTGTTCACCGCAGACCTTAATTCAGGCATCAAACTGAAAAACATTCAAAATAACTATTGACTTTGAGAAGAGGGAACCGGAGGTGCAAAGATCCTAACTCGTTTCCGGGTTTTAGGACTCATCCTGCAGCACTTTACTGACTTTAATATAAAATGAGACCCCTCTTGTCAGGCTGGAAGACTCAACTCAACTTAACTTAACCAGTATTCAGTGTGCAGTTAAATGTTTTTAAGGACACATTCGTGGTCAAGCAACCTCTCACAAAGTTACTTGACCTACTGTTTATCTATCTATCTATCTATCTATCTATCTATCTATCTATCTATCTATCTATCTATCTATCTATCTATCTATCTATCTATCTATCTATCTATCTATCTATCTATCTATCTATCTATCTATCTATCTATCTATCTATACTATACTATACTATACTATACTATATATTTGATCAAGGAATGAGAAAATAACTAGAAATGTTTCACTGCAGGGATGTATTAAAAAAAGCCACTGGCATTGTGAATGAATGGGCTGAAAGCAATCCCATGGACCAATTTAGTGAGAAATAATGTACACGTACATGCTTTAATGTTGTGTTTGTGAGTGTTTGTGGCTGTGAGCGTGGAGATTACCATTTAAGAAAACAATTATGTAACATTTGCATTAACTGGTGTGACTGCATAGAGAGCTCACACACATGGTGATGCAGTCATTTTATTTCCTCTCTTTGACCCCTTCAGGACACCCATGGAGGGACGATGCCGCTGTGCTTCCCTTTTCTCACTGTCTTGGCCTTCCATGTGTTTATTCAAGAGAAGGTACACATTTCCAGCCATTAAATTTCATGCTGATGAGTTTCCGCTGTTTTCTGGCCTGTAGAAAACTTTGGAAATGATCATTCTGAGGCCCACTAGAAAGGCAACACGTTTTATTACTTAATGACTTAAATAACTCAAATCTGAACCGCTCTGCTCTTCATCCAGGTAGATGTAGTTATACTTGAAGTTGGGATTGGTGGAGCATATGACTGCACCAACATTATAAAGTAAGACTCTCCATTTATAAAACTATAAAACTTATAAAATTATTTTTACCGTCTTGATCACAAATTTGAATCGAACTGTTCCATCCATTGTTAATTCACTTCAGATCAGACACAAAGATTGTCTGTCTTGTCTGAGCCTTGCAAGGTTCAGGGTCAGACAGTAGAGGGTGTGTTGAGCCATTTTCAAACCATGAAATGCCAATTTTCCTAAATTTGGTAAGAACAGATGAGAGATAAGTTTTCGATAAGTTTGCAGCTCAAAAACCCTTTACTGTCACTATATAGATGTGTTTAAAGCTCCATCAGTGTGGGAATAAAATGTTTGTCCTCCTCTGTGGTTGTGTGTAGGAGGCCGTGGGTGTGCGGTATCGCCTCTCTGGATATAGACCACACTGAGATTCTTGGAGACACCATTGCAAAGATCGCCTGGCACAAAGGAGGAATCTTCAAGGTGCGTTGGCCGCACTCATCAGTAATGTAGCACTGTGATTGGACAAAATATGAATATAAGTAATAAGACCAAAACATGCTACTTAGTGGATACTTCCTAGCTTTTTGGTGCTTTCAGCTTCATCTCACAGTCTTCATCAGCACTGGGAGTTTGCTTGGTTTTTGGTTTGATTTTGAGTAATCTCTATGAAAACTGCGTCCACTGATGAAGATTGTGCTTGAAAGTGCCAGGA